TCTATCACACCTACAGTTTTATGAAAAACTTCAGGGGAGGGAAAAAAAAAAAAAGGAAAAAAAAAGAAATGAGATATTGGCTGACATACCACACAGGTAGGAGAAAAATTGATGGCATTAGATTTAGTCGATTGCATAAGTGAGCAAAGTGAAATAATAGACTGGTAGTGTCAGAGGTTGTGTGGAACAGAGGAGAAAAAATATTTCAGACAAAATTATGATTGTTAAGTTGATGATTTACAATTGGCATGTTTTTTCAGCTTTGAAAGAGTATTCCTATTTCAATATAACATCAAAAAGAATAGGAAAGATGAAATATAGTTATTAAAGAATCAAGAATTGGCTCTCAATCTTATATTTTGAAGTAAGCAGATACACTTATTGTTTTCCTGAATGCACAAAAAAGTACAATAGTGCACTATTTAGATTAACTTGATATCTTTATTTTAGTGTCCGCATAAATATTTTATTATTCCTTTCATTTTTTTCCTAGTTTCTTCTCTTGCTTTTTTCCCCCATCTTGGTCTATACATACTTATTTTTCATTTAGGTCAGGGTACTCTCTTGTTATCAGGGACACATTAGAGGAGTGGTACTGATTTCAGTTTCATCACCAAATGTTAAACTACTGTCAAACTATTGTCACCCAAATAGAATGGAAGTAATTCAATATACTGTAGTTGCAGTCTGTCCTAAAATGGTATCTTTTTGCACAACCATACTTTACTGCCAGTGAAAGCAGGTAGATCTTCTTTCTATACTTCCACTTATTTAGATCTTGGCATAATTCAAATAAAATACATGCAAACAAGTTTATGAACCTCTCAATCTTTTTTTTTTTTTTTTTTTATGCCTTCCACAATGTCATGCCAAATGTCATTAAAAGAGCTTCTTTTTTTTTTAAGCAAGAGCAAAAGGTACTTTATTCCAGCAAAAAGGTCAAAGCGCCAGGTAGTTTACCAGGCGATCATATTATGGAGGTTAAATAATCAATCATTAATGAAACATAAGGATGCTCCTGTTGTTTTATTTCCTCATTTAGGGATATGCTCAGCATTAAATAACCAGTCTGCTAATGATTATGAACCCTGTAGATGCAGATCGTAAGCATAATTAAAGAACAGAAATTTAATGCATCTCTTTATCTTCATGAAAGCAGAAAATTCCTTCCTTTAAAAAAGATCACTCTAGTGCTTCTAAAATGATACAGACTATTTCTTAGGTTCGAGTTTATGGCTAAGACACTTCCAAAAAGAATAAAAATGATTCTGGATGATCCCAGAATTTTAGTGTAAGCATAAAAATAATACAATTTTATAATTTACTTTGTGTGTTGCCAAAGAACTTTTTTAGTTTGTGTTTATCATTTTTCATATGAAGTAGACTAGACACTGTATCCTGAGTTATCAGATTCAATCCCCAAGTTTGTCCAAGTGTTAAAAGACCATACTTCATCTCAGATCTCACCTGGCTTCTTGCCCTGTTATCCCTTGTAATGATGACCTGACAGACTTCTTTCATACCATAACAACTTCTCTAGGCAAAGCTGAAACAACACATCTCTTTTGTCTAGGTAGGACTATAGGCCTGTTACATTAAATGGATAGGAATTTTTGAGTATATCAGATTTGAAATAAATTGGAAAAAGACTAGTGGAGCTGAGGATTGAAAGGAGAGCTCTAAACTAGTTCAGCAACTGCTTACAGGAACATCAGGAGCCAGAAGTTGGGGTGAGATCTGCCAAATGCCATAAAGAATGGTGTTAGCTTAAAAAAATTTTTAAATGAAAGATTTTAAGAATAGCAGAGGCAGAAAAACAAGATGACATCTTCAAAGGAACCACATCAATATCTTACAGAACCAGTACACACTTTTAAGGGAATGGAGCTCACTCCCTGGTACAACTGGAGGACTGTTCTAAAGGCTTACTTAACTATAATTTTAAAATTCTCATCTACAATTATTTACATCTGTTTAAATTATTTGGTCAAAGGTAGAAGTATCTGATCTAATATTTTTTGTTTCCTTCCTATTGTTTATTTCTTCAAGTTATTTGCAGGGAGTAATCTTTACTTTTGATGGACTAAGCCCCTGCCTCTGTTTATTTCCTTCTTTAAATAATCAAGATCACCTCACAGCTCTTCTGCATCTGTTGAGAGCTCACTCTGTCCTTTAATGACTGCAAGCAACCACAATCAGTTGCAGTAAATGAGGTTTGCACTAGTGGAAAGTACTTTAATATCTCCCTTATTTCTGCTGAGGTATCCCAGATGAAATATCCTAGGATAACATTTGCCTTTCTCACAGCTGTACAGCACTGAGGGCTCGTAACCATCATTGAATGGGTTAGCACATGAGGATTCTTTCTCTCCAGAGGTCACTAAAATGCTGAGAAACAGGCTGAGTAGAGCACTGTGGCAGCCCTCTGATTTTATGATAGGTATATGTAGCCTGGGAGAGGAGAAAATTTTATTAAGACAATTTCTATGGAAATATAAGCATTAATATAAACACTATGGAATACAGGGCTTCAAACCACATGCCCCATTTTTTTCTGCTTTAATTGTTTCTAGATGCTACCTTATTGCTAGTTGTTACTGTAGGTAATGTAAATTATTCCTAATTTGTTGGGGTTTTTTTGTTTGTTTTTTTTAAAGTATTGCTCTGCTATCTTTTCTGCTACTTTCTTCCAACAGTGTTTCAAAGCATACCAGAACACCTTACTTGGAAATTCTGAAAAACGTGCAGATATAGTCCAATGAAAGTACTTCTAACTGTATGCAGTGGAGCCAAAGTCCCAGTAAGTAGCACCACATAATGTTCACCTGTCTTGATTAACTGAAGCCAGAAAATTTGTAACATTCCTTTATTATATACCTTCATGGTGCCAATGACAAAATACATCTTTCTAAGACTATAACTTGTTTCTAGAATCCCTTAATTTCAAAGGGAGTGCTCAAAAAGCTGGAAGGAATGAGAGCATCTTGTCTCTTACCTTGATTGAAATAGGTGGAAAAACAGTATGAAATAGAGGGTGAAAGCTACAAGGGACAACTTTGCCCACTGTCCCAATAGGGGCTTGGATGTTCAAAAATTTTGCTTCCTTCACATTAAAGTTAGAAGTATGGGCTTTTTGCAAGTGGTCACACAAATGGTCCAAACATTCACTACATAGTCATACTTCATGCTCTGACAAAAGATTGAGAGATCATTCGTGTTGTGTTCAGGTTCAGAATCCACACATGGATTCTCAGAGATTCTATGTACAATTCACATGCAAAGCACAATTAACTTGGCAAGTTTTGTGCAAAAAACTATTGATTCAAACCTCTCATATAGGTAGCAACTTCCCTTTCTCTTTTTTCTGCTTTCTCTCCTTCTCCTGGGCAAGTGGATATGATTTAAGAAAAACTGATGGACTGACAGTATCTTTAGGTATTTTATACTATTTGGATAACATTTAGATACTTAACTCTAAAAGGATCAATAGCACATTTGAATCTTAGGAACAGAAATCCAGACTATAACTGTTTCATTTTGACATTACACAGCATTAGAATAGGTGACATCAGGTTGAAAACGCTACCAGAGCACAGACCATCTACAGTAAGCAAGTAGTATTGCTGGGAACTGGTCTAATGGATAGATCTCTTCAAAAATAGCTCATTTTGAGAAACTATTAAAAAAAAACCAACAACCCTAAATCATAGATAGTTACAGAGTAAGTGACATAGGAGTTCAATAGCATGATAATATCAAAGATAATTAAACGAGATAATCAGGAATGAGAAACCAAGATAAGATAACTGTTGCAGATGTTTGATAGAAATGAATGGGGAGAGGTCACTGAATTAATACTTAATAAATCAAGTAATACTTCTCTTTCCTCCAAGTACGTTAATTAATCAAAATCTCCCTAGAAATTGTATCCCTGAACAATTACCTCATTTGAGGTACATTCCTGTTCCCTGCAGCCATGCTTTGCTATTATAATTTCTTATGAAATTTGTTATTCCAAATTGAAGTGGGACTTTTTTCCTTTCTGCAATATTTTTGTCTTTCTAATTTAGCAACAGTTTTAAAATTTTTCAGTTCTAAAATGTTTGTAATGGAGTTCTTCCCCATCAGTTTTCACTGCTTATGTCCAGGGCTTAGGCTTTTGATCAGTTTTAGTGACAAAGACTTGATGAAAACAGTGTGATTTAAATAAGCTGCTGTATAAATAAAAAGATGTACCTGTGTCAGGTCAATGTCATTCCTTTTACTTTTAAATGCTCTACAAAGTGACAGGTTGTTACCTTCTATTCTACATGAATATAAAAAGTGCTACTAAGATGACTTACCCATAATATTCAAAGCCCCATAAAATGCAAAATGGCTGAGTGAGGAATCTGCGTAAAGGTATTCAGAAACCTTTTAACCACTTTAGCTGCTTTAAAAAGCTATGGATTTTATTGTCTTCATGGCAGTGCACCACCTAGTTCTGGATGAATTTGATGTTGAGAACTATAAATATGATAAAATCGCATGAAAATTGATGAAACATAGGTAAGAATACTAAAACATCACTGTGTTAGGAGAAGTTTGCCTCCATCTTTGAGAAGCTCTCTCAAATAAGAAAATGCTGACAAAATATTTTCCAAAGATCTTTTAAGTTCTGTGTTTTTAACCCATGCTTCAGTTCACTTTAATTGAAAATATGCTGTATCTTCACTACTTCCTCCTATGCAATTTTAGCCAAGCAAGAAAAACTACAAAAAATGGGTCATGGTTGTCAACAGAACAACGTTTCAGCCTCTCTTCCAAAGATTTTTTTTTAAACGCAAATATTTAAAACAAATGATGATGAACTCCTCCAGTTTTTGAGATATGTTGGGGTTTTTGGTTGTTTTTTTTGTTTGTTTGTTTGTGTATGGAAACTGCTGAGTCACGGCCTGAACCTCTGTTTGATCACTTGAGGCGAGCCATGAGTCAACCAGAGGCAATTCACCTGTGCTGCCAGAAGGGTGGAGCCAGAATCCACCCCTCCTAGACCTATTTAAGAGCTGGCTACCATTAGGGAAGGATCTGTTCTGGAGATTGCCTTTGCTGGTGTTTTGTGAGTGAGCCCAGGATAGGGGTAAGCTTTCTATTTATTCTTTTTTGTTATCATAGTCTGCTTTGCCTAATTCTTTTGTTTATTTTGTGATTGTAACATCCTAAAATTCTTTGATTATACAGTTTGTTTTTTGTTTTTTCCGAATCCTGTTAGGATTGTAACTGCATTTTAACCTTGTTGGTATCCATGTATCATAATTGTTATACCTCTTCTTGCTCACAGAAGAATGATTGGACTACTGTGTGTGTTTTTGGCACATGGCTTCAATCACAGGAGCTCTTCTTTAGAGCCTGTCGTTGTGCAGCCTTACCATAATCATCTCACTGGCTGCATGCATTTAGGAATTTGCTAGTGCAGGGCTAAGGAGTACATCAGCAGCGAACATTCAGGCAGGGAGCACAGGGTAAGTACCTGTGTTACTCTTTTAACCAAAAGATCAGGCAATGTATCCTCATAAAGCAGGAAGAAGACTGTTTGTGTTAACAAATGCCAATGGACATGTAGAAAACGAGCAGTGTCTTTATCTCACTGAAGACAGGTAACTTCGTAACTGGTAATTGCAGCTGATCCTTCTCCTCGCACCCTTTCATATATACAGGCCAAATAAAAGCAGATGTAGATATTATGAAAGCACTGTTACTTTATGCACTTAAAAAAAAAAAAAAAAAAAAAAAAAAAAAAAAAAAAAGGCAGCATCCCATCATGATTTAATGTATGTTTTTTATCCCCAGTTAAATGCAGAGCTATGTGGGTATGGAAGCAGAAAAAACCTTGCTGCTCTCCCCTCCTGGTGTGGAAAACAACAGGAGTGATCACGGCAACACAGCAGAGCAGGAGTAAACGAGATCTTACATGAAGGTCAGGGTGTTGAAAGCTCTGTACTGTGTTTCATCATCAGTTGGCCCCTGTGCTGTTTGTGGGATAGATCTTATGCAATGATTTTTTTGCAGTTCTAAGTTGCAGTGGCTTCTAATCAAAAGTTTAGAGAAGGTTTGTATCTAGCTAAGAAAATAAACTATCTGACCAGGAAAAGCTATCTTTGCTAGTAAGAAGGAGATGAGGGAGAGCTAAAATATACACTCTGCTGTACAGTATTGGCCACTGAAAATCTGTATAAAAAAGGTACTTTGAGGCTTCCAAAGTTACCAGTTTTATTAATCCAGCATTCTGAGGGACCACCTGTTTTATTTCTACAGCACTAACAATGGGCAAAAATGAATCTGATGGCTGAAGTGGTGCTGGTTGAGTAGGGATGGGTGGGTGCTGGCAGCAGCAGGAGCCCCCAGCTGGTGTGACAGCCCCTATCCCCACGTGATTAGAGCACCTGCCTGCTGGTAAGTGGTGCTGGTGTTTTTTCACCTAATGTTTTCCAAGTATTGATTTGTGTTCAGTTCACTGCTTATGATTTCTGCAGGATCTCCATTAGCAGTTCTGTTTATACGGTTTTGTTTATTAAATATTTGCATTGAGGAAAATTATCTTCTTTTATTCACAGCCTGTACTCAAGACACTATAGACAGATGTCTTACTTTAAATTCAGGGCATGGAAACAATGCTTCTTTGTTTTATGAGCAAGAAAGCCCCATAATTTTCAGATGACATGTTCATAACTTACTTCTATTTTTGAAATGTCTTTTTTCAAAATAAAATAAACTCAGTATCCCTTTGAAACCCATTAGGAAGTTTTTTTATACACTGAGAAGTTACTTTAAACATCCTAAATTCAGTGTGGTTCTTATAAAAGATGTCTGTGGTACTGAAGAACTAAGAGTCTGCTGAGCCACGGCTGAAGGAAAATGGGGACACCACTGTCAGCAGCCCTAGCAAACTTTAAAGTAGAATTCAATTACGCGTGGCTGATTCGCCCACTCTGTTTTCCTCCAATTTATTCTCCTACATTTGATTAACTTTTTTTTTTTGGTTGCACATCTCTGTCCAGGAGAAACATTTAGCTCTTATTTGAAATCAGTGTAACACAGATATGTAGAGCATTGGACAACTAACAAAGAGTTTTGCTAAACAGCAATGACGTGGAGCAACAGCTGAAGAAATTTATTTGCTTGAAACTAGAATTTGACAGCAAAATGTGTTTCTGCTGGGAAAAATATGCTCATCAGTAACTAGAAAAATAATCCATACCCCTATGATTTGTAGTGGAAAATGCTGCTGTAGTATATCAGCACAGATAATGCTTAAATGCTCACATTTTTTTCTCTTGTATTGATCAGATCTCTCAATCAGACTACATTTCTCATGAGACATCATACAGCACTCCAGCCAAGGATGGAGTCCACGCTTAATCCTTGCAGTATGGCAGGACAGTGCAGCACCATCTCATAATGGATAGGTCTAGTTTAAAACTGCAGTTTTAAGTACTTTTTTAATTTGTTTTGGGAAAAGGATCATGTGTGTGTATATGAATGCCAGGTCTACTGGCTATTGAAAACTGTACTCTTTACTCAGGATGCATAGATTTGATTATGCAATCTTGCTGGAACAGTTTTCTAATCAATATCAGTATTATTCGCTTAATGATTGTTAAAAAAGGAAGAAAGAAAACTGGTGTTTCTAAACAGCTCTATTATCAGCTACTAAGAGGAACAACCACCTTTTTATTTAAAAGAATGGTTGTTTGGGGATATAATGATTATTTGTAGAGCGCTGGGATATAGGAGGGAGGATTTAGTTAAACTGAGTGCATAAAATCATGCTGTGTTCCTTGATATCACCTCATAGACTGGTTTATTTCCAGTGTCACCTTCACTGTTTTGTAATCTGTATGCATAGTGAATAAACTCTACACCTAAGGACTTGGACTTGATGATCCTTAGGGGACCTTTCCAACTCAGGATATTCTGTCATCCTGACTCTACTTTCTTTGAAGTGCATCCGTGACATTTATCTGCAAGGCAAAGCTTGCTCTTCTCCACAGTAAACTGATGGAGGGACACCTTAAAATCCCTGGAGTCCAGGCACCTGCAAAATGTGGGGAGTGTATGGTCACTACTTGCTTTCACTTATTAGTGACCAGACTTGAGCTTCGCCAGCTTATGGCTCAGGTAAGCATGTAGCTGCAATTAGCAGCTTGGTGCCATGGTGGGCTTATTCCAAATCTCCTACATCTGGAGGCTTCCACCAACTGAAAATCAGCCCTGGACCACAGAATGACTATAGGCACTTCCTAGGACGTGTCTCTGGGCTGTGAAAATCGGAGATGTTTCACCCTCTATAATCAAATATCTGCTAGATCTGGAACTTTATTTCAGGTCTCCTACAACTTGATTATCTTCGCCCTTTAGGCCTTTTGGGAGCACAGTGAGATGTTTTTGATTCTGATTCTTTTGAAGAAATATATGTAAAATATCTTTTATCCTAATTAAAAACTTATTTGTTTTTTAATTTCTTGTGCTTCATTGGATAATCACTTCTTTCCTAGGTTTTGTCAAGTCTTACTGAGCTAATTTCCACTGGGACTAATCAAAGCATAGCCTGAGCATTTGATGGTTTGGACCCCTGTCAGAAATACATGACTATTTTGATATTGCCAAAAAATATATTGCTAAAGAGAATTGTTTCCTTTATTTATATTCATTTATGCTTGGGTGAGTGTCTTTTTTTGTGGCATAAATCATACGTGAAGTTGGTTTATTTTTTTTAATGCAAGCAGTGACAAAATATCCTCCGGCAACTTGTTTTCCAAAATAATCAGCTCAGGCATCTCCCACCTGGAAAAATACTGCTGCACTGTTGTGGCTGGAAACAGTGTGAATGGTGGAATATGACTGATGTGAGCCTGTCTATCAGAAAATGTTTTTGTTTCAGACGTTATACCTGCTCTCAAATCTAATCCCAGTTTCAGTGGCTTAGTTATGCAAGGGCAAACATCAAACATCTGCTCTGTCCACTCTCCTTTACAGCCAACACCATTAATTTTCCAAATAAGTCAGCACATCTCTATTTATTCTTTAATTCATTGGTAATACTATGTTCTAATTGAGATTGTAAAATGGAACTTGCAGATTTGATTGCTTAGAGTTCAGAGCTCTTCTGTGATCAGAGCTATCAGTCTTGTAAATGGTATAAGCAAATGCAAAACAAAAAAAAAAAATTCACAGTGCTGCAAAATGACTTCTCTCTGTGCTTGCTTCCCATTTAGGCTATAGCACAGGCAAGAGCAAAATCCATCTGGAAGAAGAAAAAAACAAAGTCAAGGTAAAAACAAAATCTTTCCAACATCATTCCTGTAGTGGTAAGTCATCCTGCTGAGAGCAACAGATTAGATCCTGCCACAATACATCTCATAACCTACATCCTGAAAACAAGCTAGAATAGATTTCCAGAGTGAGAAATACATAGATATAGTTTTGGGAGAATATTATGGAAATAAGTATTCAGCAAGAGGCAAGCAGTATGAGGTGTTACCCTTCATTAGCTCTTGTGTTGATATAAGCGCTTGTTTCAGAGTCTCTCTCCCTCTTGAGGACTACAGGTAATGGACGAGCGGTTTTGTCTTCATTCAAACTATCATTACTGTAGAATCAATTGAAACATTAAGAAAATAAGGGACAAAAAATTTAATTCCTCTGTAACAACAGTTTTGACCCTTGGTCAAGGTTCTTTAAGAATATAACCAGGCCTTGCAATGTAATTATGTTTTGAAACTTGTACCTAAACACTTTTACACCAGTCTGTGTACCAGTCTCAGAAAAATGGAGACACTGAAAACATAACATTCAGTTTGTTAAGGACAAGAACTCTTTCCTCTTAAAGTTCTTTTATTCTTTTTGCCTCTGATGTCTCTATTTTCTATATTCCATTCTTTCTGTGCTCTTTGGTCTTGAGTCCACCCAGTCCTCTTCATTTTCATTGCAATTTTTCCTTTCTCTTTATGTAGCATTTTCTCTATGAGATGTTTTGCATACATTTTTCTTCTTGCATTAACCTTAAGTCTAATCCTGCTATTGACAAGTCACCAGAACCTATTGAGGGTCAACAAAAAGGATTCCTTCTGATTTTTACTGCTTTGTGAAGTACATTCAACAATATTGAGCAAAGAAGCATCATGTGAGACTCAGGACAGAGCTGTAATGCTGCATTCAAGGGCACAGCCTGTATGAAGCACATTATAGAGTTTTATTGTAGCACATTGATTACGTGTACTTAAATGTCTACACTCCACCTTCTAAGTTTAAATTCACAGGACTGTAAAATGGTTTAATTTTATAAAAATCCATATTCTTTTTGATTATCATACTAAATTTTTCTGCATGGACTAGCACAATCTTCTGATGCAGAGTGCATCTGACTATTAAAATGCAACTTACAAATGAACACGAGTGTGAAATACCTTTATTTGCCACGAAGCAGAAGTGAGGTCATGCCTTGCAAGGATATTCATACTTCCTTCTCATATTTCCTTGAGGTCTCAATGGATTCCTGTTTAAGGGAGACCCATATACCTGACCACTGTGGGAAAGAGTCCTGCACACAAGTAACTACTTGAGGAAGGAAATGTAGGAACAGGTGCAAGAAGTAGTGGATATCAGCTGAATCCATACTGACTTTTACAAGATGTATTCACTGATCTGTGCACTCATTAATAAGTGATATGAAGATGTCACTTAAAGCACAGTATCAGCCTTTGCTGATGATGTACCTGGCAAGGTGTTGGTGGCAGAGTGGCTTAATAGGGAAGCCATTGTGAAAAGAGAACAGGGCTACCCCATGCTGGATACAGGAGAAAGTGTCAGTATTTTAAATAATTGCAAAAATATGAAACTTATTTTCCAGAAGTCAAAACTGTTTCACCACCATGGTAACTGGTAATTGATTTCCCTGTCTTTTTTGCTTATGTTTTTTTCCCTGCTTTCTCCCCCTACCTCATTCCTTCCTGATGAGTAAACAAGCAGCTGGGTAGGAACTTGACATCTAACCAAAGCCAATCCATTGCAAAGATTGACTCAGGTTAGTCAAAGTTAAAGCTTGGTATTGAATGACTTAATGATAAAATTAGAAGATGAAATTCAGCATTAGTACTGTTAATTAATGATCGTGGCAAAAAAGAAGAAAAAGCACTTGCAATGCTGTTGGAACTGTTCTCTGTAGTTGCAGTGTTTAGTGTAAGAGCCAAAGGAATAACTAAGAAGTTAAATGTGATTTTTTTTCAGTTGTTTTCCAATAATTCACAATTAATTCTTTTGCAAAGACAGTTCTGTCATGTCAACCATTTGACTCTACCAAATTATGACAATATTCTGGAGAACGAATACACTTTACAGAGTGGAAGTTCCAGAAGAAACTTTTAAATTGGAAAAAGGACAATATTCACTGGGCTCTCCCATATGTGGATATTCTGTCCTATGAGGCGTCTTTTCTATCTGGGCCAAGCTTGACATAGAAATCATCTCTCCTGAAATGATATGTTTCTTATGATTCACAGTGCAAAGTTTGGTTGGAGCAAAACCACACTGCATAATGCGGAATAAAGTGCTTCAGGGAGCATGGCTGATAAGGTAGAAAGGAACCCAGACTACTACTGGATTGGCAATGAACTAGGGAAAATTGCCTATGAATATTTTCTTAAACCAATTTGAGTTTAAATATTTTATTTCATTTCACTGAAAAGATTTATTTTGCTCCATACTGGATCAGACCTACCATATGTTTCCTTGTTAAATCTGTGTTTTAATTACATTTTAAATTAATTACTAAATATTTTGAAATACCAAAATCAAGATTTCCCTGAGAGGGAAAGAACTGAAATCTCAGTAGAAAACATCTGACCAGTTTTTATGTTTTGGTGTATAACTTTGTACAGTTTAGTATTCTGAGAATTTAAAGACTAAGCTAAATTATCTGTTTCTGCTTGAAGGCTAAAGTTTGCTATCTTCAGCTGCAAATCATCTCCATACTGCAAACTATCTCTATACTGAAAATCTTGCCCCTTTCCCTCATACACACTGATTTATCTGTTGTATTACTGTCCTACCTCTTCTGCAAAAATGGTTTAGGTCAGATATATACACAGGAAGCAGCCATCTGAACTGGGAAGGGAATATGTCCACCTGGAAGCAGTTAAAAGAGAACAGTATGATATATTGAGGTACTTAATGAGATGAGATCGATTCATTCATCTGACTGCATAAAACTTCACTAAGTGCTGTGTTCCTTTTTGAAGACCAAACATAAACTCCTAATTCACTCTGGTATACTTGAATGTACACTTATGGTCCAAATTCTAGACTACTAGTTACAGGCATCGAAATATAACCCTCCAGAGCTAGACATTCATTTAGTTAAGAGATTGTTTCTCTTCTCAAAGTTATAATTCATTGCTTGTTTTACTTACTATTCTCACTTGAGAATTTAAGTCTTCCAAAGTAAAATACAAAAATTTCCAAAATCCTACAGTGAAGGAAGTTCAGTAAAGCAGTATTGGTCTTTGAGAGACAGTTGTCAAGGCTAAGCTTAGTGAGTTAGTTCAATGTCAGACTGCAGTTTAGGAAACAAAGACAGTAGAAGTAAATGATAGCTGTGAATGTATCAGCTTCTTACAGTGTTAGTAAGTGTTTTCAAGAATTAAACACTATCTATATCCAAAGCAGACTACAAAATGCAAAGAAACAGAGTTACTGTATCCTAATAATCATAGAATCACAAAATGGCTTGGGTTGGAAGAGCCCTTAAAGCCCATCCAATTTCTACTCCCTGCCATGGGCAGGCTGCTACCCACTAGATGAGGCTGCACAGGACTCCATCCAGCCTGGCCTTGAGTGCACTCAGGGATGAGTCAGCTACAACTTCTCTGAGCAGCCTTTGCCACTGCCTCACCACCTTCTGAGTAAGAAATCATCTTCTAATGTCCAGTATAAATCTTCCCTTTTTTTAGTTTAAAACTATTACCCTTTGTACTACCTCTGTCTTCCCCTGTAAAATATCTTTCTCCTGTTTATAAGCTCCCTTTAATCACTTGAAGGCTGCAGTGAGGTCTTTTGGAGCCTTCTCCTCTCCAAGCTAAACAAGACCAACTCCATCAGCTTTTTTTCATAGGAGAGATGCTCCAGCCCTGTGATCATCTTCACAGCCTCCTCTGGACCCACTCAAACAACTCTGCATGCTCCTCCAGATCTGGACACACTATATCAGTTCCAGTACAATGTCCAAGTAAGACCAAAAATATATGGAGAGACTTCTGTGAATAAGACTCTTGATTCTGAGCCCAGTACTGTCATCAGTAGCCTTAGACTTGGTAGGAGAAACCTGCGTTTCAAAGGACAGGACAGGACATGTCAAGAGTGCAGCCATGGTCCAAGCAGCACACCATGAATAGAAACATTGCAAGGACTGGAGAGTAACTACTATGTTCCAGATAGAAGATACATGTGCCCTTGGCCACATCAGGGACATAAAAACAAGATCTAAGAAAGTATCAGAGATTAAAGCCGCGCTTGGGAATTCTATCTTTAATAGTAAATAAGCATTCCCTCTCAAAACACATTTCAGCATAGCCATGAAGTTTTTGTGGTGAACATAGAGATAGGGCAATATTCATACATTACACATAATTTTTCCTCAGGTGTTTCAAAAACACTCAAAGTGGTTTCCCAGTTCAGCCCTTGGAAGTCATGTCTGACAGAGGAACTGGGTAACACACAGAGAGCTTCCTTTGTTTTCCTCTAGTTTGAATATTTGGTTTAAAATACATCCTTCCAGTGCAGAGCAAGGAATATTGTCAAGTGAATTTCAAATGTGCCTGTTAAAAATACAAATTAAAGTGGGATTTAAAAAAAAATCACCTTCCGCCAATAATGAAGCCATCAAGAAAAGTAACACTAACAAACAGAAATAGGGTCCCATTATGTGAGTTGCAGACCATCTTAATAGATGGAAATTTGCCTGTCTCAGTCTACATAATTAAAATGTACTGTATATAATTAAAATTAATGTAATTAAAACAGTCTCAGCACCAAGTTTAATTATGTCACTCAAATATTGCTTCTAGACACACCAAAATCAGCATGTCAGTAATAAGATAAATCTCTATATTCCTTTAGATTAATAAACAGATGGGACTAAAAAAGGAAAAAGAGCTAAAAAAAATATCAACACTGAAATAATTATTTTATTCAACAAATAGAATGGAGCTTTTTCTCCTAAACTGTTATTCTTATGGGTAGCCTCACAGGGATCTCTGCTTTAATGCATGTATAGAAATAACCAGTAGCTTAAATATCAGAGAAGCCAAACTCAACAGTTTAATCCTCTGATGTAATTCTGTACCACTTACAAAGAAGATAGAACACAATTCCAACAATTAATTGTGTGAGAAGGAAAGCTCACAAGGCTTTTCACAGGTGAACCTCAGTACCATCAGCTTTACACCACAGCTTATCTCAGCACCTTATCTCAGCACCTCACCACCCATGTCACTGATGTACGTGTTTGGTCTGTAGTCTGGGCAAAAGTCCATGTACCCTATGGTTGTGGTTGAACAAGTGTTGATGGAGAGAAAAACGAAGACTTGAGACCTGTCCAGTTCTGGTCATATTGGTCACCAGATCAAAGGATGCCAACTGATACTGCAGCTGCATAAGCATCTTGCAGTTGGGAAAAAAAGGCTGAGAAAAGAGTTGAGGTGGCAAAGAGAAAGTTTATATTTGTAGAGAAGTTTTCCAAGAGGGAAAAAAGTTCTGCAATCTGTTGTTTTACAACATAAGCTGTGGGCTAATAAGATATATAAAGTTATGTTGACAACTGCAGGTGTTTCATGCTTACCATTTCAATTAAATATTCCTGAAGTGGTTATTATATACCAGCATTGTAAATGAGTTTTTTTGATGTTGTCTAAAAAGTTTCTGAGATTGGAATATGATGCTGTAAGAATAACAAAGTTTTTGCACAAATAATGCTGATTGTGAAGGTCGCAATACATCCTGAAATCTTCTCTCAAACAGGATTAATTTTAGGTAACTAAGCTCTCAGCAACCACAATAGTCTGTATGCTGTTAGCCCTCTCAAACACCACTAGTTTCCCTAGGTCTGTCATGGTTTTATGATTTTTGGTTATGGGTATTACACATCATAACAGCATGTAATGTACTGGGGGTTTGACTGTTGATGCTCAAGTTCCAGGTGCCTGTCCGGAGGAGAAGAAGAGCTACATTCCCCAGGGGGCTTTGCGATCAGTGAGGAGATATAAGTCCTGATAAGGTCACCTGATGTTCTCTTCTTTGCCTGCGCTTCTTCATCTGCACTTCTCCACCTGCTTTTCTTCATCAGCTCAACTGGACTGCACATCTTACCTCAGCACTGCAGTGAGGCCTATCCACTTTTCAGACACACTCTCTCTCTCATTATATTTTGATTTATTAACTTCCATTATATTGCATTATCTTGCATTCTGATACTATATTTAGTAAATTTGTTTCACCTCAGATCATTGCCGCTGTTTTCAATTATTTTGAGGTCCCATGTTTCCAGAGGTGTGGATCCACATATCCCTCTGCCCTGCTAGTCACCGAACCAGGACAAACCAGCCCATAAACCATTGACAAGGTCCCATACTTAAAAGACAGTGGTAATCCTTAGCGTTTCTACAGTGCCTCTTAAGGTATTTTGTTGGCAAGTATATGGCGATGATATTGCTTTCCATCCGTCTTTGAGGCTGCAGTGTAATACCTTCTATCTACAAGATAACTGGAAATGGATTAATGGGATAAAGTTGAACCTTATCAACACTAAAACAGTATTTCAGCTTAGATTTGCTGACCTCTTGTCATGATAAGATGAATGTATTCTTGAGTGTGAAATGAAACAATTTCACAGGAGAGTTTTTCATTTCACAGCTATTTTGCCTCATTTTTTATATCTGGAAATTAAATCATTAATATAGCCTAGTAGGGGCTCTATTAACAATATATTTAGTAGAGGCTAAAAGATTTAAGTTTCACAGAATTATTTGTATGTGGAATGTCTGGTCTTCTTTTAGCTCTAATCATTTATACATTTCCTTGTATTATCTGAGGGGAGGGGAGAGAGGTAGTAGGGACAAAAAAAGTAAAGAAACAACAGGCTTCAAGATACTTATATAAGTCAAATGTTTTTGAATGGCAAAACCTGATGAATTTGACTTCACAATCTGAAAGAATGGAGTCAGGCAGTCTCAGATGCAATATCAGTTGTTTTAGGGAGCTTAAAGAGGGTAAGCGAGATACCTGATGATACAGACTTATCTCTAAACAGAACTGTGGGGTGGGAGCTGAGAAGCCATCAACCATTGTAATGTCCAGGCAGCTGAAAGAGCCCTGAAGTGAAAAATAGAGGAGGCAAAGTGCATATTGGTCTAACAGAGATAAAACCTCTTAAATCAGTTTTTCCAGTAAGCTGGTGAGGTTAACTACTTCTCAGTAGTTAATTTCCTCTGTTTTCCAAATAGAGTAAGATTTTGAGAATTTTTTACTTGACATTATTATAAATAGGATATGGAATTAAGGTACAGATAAAACTATTACAAAATAACTTGCAAATGGCAAAAATGCTTGTAAAAATCTTAGATGATAGAGAATATCACTGGTTCATGATCAGAACAATACAGAATGAGTGGTTTTGAAGAGTTCTTCCCTTGGTCTAGTATTAATTAATATACTTATTAGAGATCTAAATGGTAGAAGAAAGATTATTTTCACTGAACCAGCAGGTGATATCACCCTATATACTGCTGCTACATTAGATAGCAGCATTAGAATGCAATACAATCTTGACAAATAGGCAAACCAGACTGGAAAAGGAATAATAATATAGTTCAGCAGGGAGGAGCACGCATATATAGCCAAGAATAATCAATTACATGACATGGGATCAGGAATGATTGCCTATACAGCAGTTCTGCGGAAAAGATGCACTTTGTAATGGATTACAAGGGGAACATGAGCCAAACAAAGGTCTATACAAGAACAAGAACACGTAGGTACATCCTGCCTAATGCATGATTTATTTTTCATGCTTTTTGTGTGTGTTTATGAACTGCATTTTAACATCTATGAATGCATATGAAAAAAAATTTGCCCCTTTCTAATCACAACAAATAGCACACAAATGTAAAAGGCGCAGATTATTTTCTGGCTTATGTGGCATCAATGAATTTGTTCATAAAATCTCCTTACAAAAAATTTATTATAGATAGTATGCTGAAAATTAGAAAATATTCCCCTGTTGAATTCCAAATCTGATTAAATTTGCATTGCTGTATATTTTAAAAATTAATTTTCCTGATACATTTTAAATAGAATTCATTATGACGCTAAGAAATAAAAACAATTATTGACATTGTCCCCTCCCAGCCATTTTAAGCAGCAACTTCTCAAAGTATTATTGCACTTTAATTAGAAATATGAATGATAGGGATTAATTAAAAATGTGTAGACTGCAGATTCGTTCAAAAGAGCCATGCATAACACTAATTAGAATTTTTGTTATTAGTTCTTGGTAATAGGAAAAATGTGAAAATAAATGTATTTTCCTATTAATAGAGATTGATTGAAAAGCATACGAACATCTCCTCTCATTTTCATCTACCCTTTGTGTAAGAAACAAAAAGAGAGATAAATACCTACTTTCTTCTATGGAAATGAAAAACAGTGTCTTTATTATATAATGTATTAATCAAAGTAAAAGTAATTTCACTTCTTAAAAGTAGTTACTGAGCTAAGAGTTTCAAATGCTAAACCCAAACTCCCCTAAAGGACAGGTGGCTTATGGACATTCAGTTCTCTTCAGCAAAACACTGTCACTAATAGAGGCTGAAATATGTTGATGTTAAGCAAAATATATCTCTTCCACAATCCTGATTGTTTATCATCATAATCTACAGATACGAATTATATGAACTACACAGAACAGAAGGCCAGGGAGTGAACCCAGAGGAGCATCAGACAATTATCATTATGTTTGATGTGTATTTATTTAATTGATGTGGTAAAGACAATACTTTGGAGCAATAAATCACACCCTAAGTTGTTATTTATTAATATCTGTGAACAGAAGGAACTAAAGTGGGAAAACAGCTCACAAAATACAAACCAATCTGCTGGCAAGATGCAGTCATTAAAGCAACCTCAGAAATTCTGCTTTTGCTTGAGGTGTATTCATTATAATACAGTAATAATGGCTCAAAGTATTTGCTCACAGTGTGGCTTTTTTTTTTTAGATTAAATTATGCTCGTACCTGTTGAGAATGAAAGGGAAAGAAATAAAGCACAAAAATATCCTCTTTTTACCCAGAAATTCTTAAATTCTCAGAGTTACCCTGCATGTCAAGTCAATAGAGTCATCTTCTCTTATAGAATGAGGGGTAAGATTTTGTCTCCTTCCATACAAAAGACAGGCCTGACCATACTAGACAGACAACAAGCATATCAGAAGCACTGGAGTAAAAAACTCATTCATTGAAGTGGTCATAGAAATGACCACTCCTCTTCAGAGTTAGGCACAGAGACTCCAGATGCACTGGTACCTTCACATGAACAAATATGATCAGAACAAGAATCTCTGAGCTCAGGTCTCAGCAATATCCTGGTTTATGGGCATCTCCCAGCGTAGGTTTTTATATTCCCATCTGTGCTTGAACCTACAGAACTTGCAACAGTATAGTTAAACCTCATGCCAAAGAGAAGATGAACACATCTGCTATAATAATCTATGTGTGAAAGAGACTTCAAATGAAACTTAGCTAACAACCTGACCCTGCTGTCTCAAGTTATCCAGCTCACAAATCAGGGACTTACAAATGCAAACTGGTGATACAACAAACCCAACTGTATGCCTGTACCCAGGAAGACAAATTTCACAGCACTTCCCATCAAGAAGTGGAAAGAGCAACATCATCTTTTTTAAGAAGTAGAATCACAAAATCATGCCTATGTTGGAAGGGAGCCAAATCATCTGATCCAACCATTCATGGAAAAGAATGCAAGACAAGGTTATCTAAGTTGTTTGTTTGCATTGTGATAACCTAAATTGGTGGGGACTTTCAGAAGATTTCTCCCCTTCTTTCAGAAGGTAAAAATAAGCTACTCATTTTGTGGTTGTAGGTGTAAATCAGGCAGGCTTTGCTAGTTGCCTACATTCTGGCACAGTCTCTGGGAACTCAGTGTCTGGAAGAAGAAGCAACAGAGTAGCATTCTCCTCTTCCCTGCACACTGGGAATGCTGAGGTTGGGGTACGGAAGTAGCTGACTAATCTTGTGGCCTTCTATGATGGAGTGACGGCATTGGTGGACGAAGGGAAGGCGACCGATGTCATTTACCTGGACCTGAGCAAGGCCTTTGACATGGTCCCCCACCACATCCTCATCTCCAAATTGGAGGGAAGTGGATTTGATGGGTGGACGACCCGATGGATAAGCAATTGGTTGAAAGGCCGCAGACAGAGGGTGGTGGTCAATGGCTCTATGTCCAGGTGGAGGCCGGTAACAAGTGGTGTCCCCCAAGGGTCTGTCTTGGGACCGGTGCTCTTTAACATCTTTATTAATGACATCGATGAAGGAATTGAGTGCACCCTCAGCAAGTTTGCTGACGACACCAAGCTGAGTGGTGCGGTTGATACGGCGGAAGGAAGGGATGCCATTCAGGGGGACCTCGACAGGCTTGAGGGCTGGGCTCGGGTGAACCTAATGAGGTTCAACACGGCAAAGTGCAAGGTTTTGCATTTGGGCCGGAAGAACCCCAGGCACCCGTACAGGCTGGGAGGAGTGGGCCTTGAGAGCAGCTCGGCAGAGAAGGACCTCGGGGTCCTGATGGACGAGAGACTTAACATGAGCCAGCAGTGCGCTCTGGCAGCTCGAAAGGAAAATGGGATCCTGGGCTCCATCAGGAGAGGGGTGGTCAGCAGGGACAGGGAGGTGATTGTCCCTCTCTACTCGGCTCTTGTGAGGCCCCACCTGGAGTACTGTCTCCAGGTGTGGAGCCCTCAGTACAAGAAAGACATAGAGATCTTGGAAAGGGTCCAGAGGAGGGCGACTAAGATGATCAGGGGGCTGGAGCACCTCCCCTATGAGGACAGGCTGAGGGAATTGGGCTTGTTCAGCCTGGAGAAGAGAAGGCTGCGGGATGACCTCATTGCAGCCTATCAATACCTGAAGGGAACCTACACCCAGGAGGGGAGTAAACTCTTCAGAAGGGCTGACAACAGCAGGACAAGGGGAAATGGATCAAAGTTGAAGGAGGAAAGATTTAGGTTGGATGTTAGGGGGAAGTTTTTCACAAGGAGAGTAGTTAGGCCCTGGAACGGGCTGCCCAGGGAGGTTGTGGATGCCCCGTCCTTGGACGTGTTAAAGGCCAGGTTGGACGGGGTCCTGGGCAACCTGATCTGAATGTGTACGTTTGGTGGCCCTGCTAGGCAGGGGGGTTGGAACTACATGATCCTTGAGGTCCCTTCCAACCCAGGTGATTCTGTGATTCTGTGTGATTCTGTGATCTGTGTAGCTGTATTCAGGTTCATATTCTGCAGCTGCAGAATATGTTTTGGTGTTCCAAAGGGAGACCATGACTTCTTCCCACAGTTTATAAAAATTCTGAGCCATTCATCTCCACCTCCATCCAACATGCATTTCTTCGCAGAAAACAAAGGAGAGCAAATCCTTTCCCACATAGCTACTTAGCTATATCTGTATGAAACCTACTTATTTATTATCTTTGTGAATTCCCTGTAAATATCTGTTGCAATTTTTAAAGTCCCTTGGTTTTATTTTCTCTAGAAGCTTATTTATGTGAATAGTTATGAGCATTTTGCTCAAAAGAAGTGGGAATCTGAAGGGCTTGATTATCACCCTGAAAGTTAAATAGGCAGTCAAAGCACCACAGACCAGTCACTATGTATCAAGCATAAGCTCTTTCATAAACTAATTTGACTTTCAGTCCTACAAGGCTTCTTGAAAGTTTTCTCTGGAATTTTACTTTTTATGATTTCATGACTCCATATCTGCAGGTCAGTGTACAATTGCAAACATAAAAAAAAAAGTTAGAAAATATCTAAGGGGATTCCCTTTGAAACTCTGCCATTATTACAGCAGGTTTTCCAAGGACATTATTTTGTAGGTAAATGTGTATGTTACTTAGTAAGGGCTGTGTTCCAATTATACTTTCCAATTCATTAACTTCCTTTTCATAGAGTCAAGATAATTACTTTCTAGTTGTGTCACTAGAGTGGCGCCTAAGGCAGAAAGGAGGGCGGAGTCACCCTTTAATCACTGAGGTTAATTTTGCTGTCCTGAGAATAAAGACCACATGCCCATTTAATCAAAATGTCCAGAGGAAAGAAGATAATGTAAAGGTTGAAGTAATATTTCTTCCACTGATTGAGTGGTTGAGGAAGCATTTATTAATATTGCTTTAACACGATATTTTCCTAATTCAAGAAAAATGCCATCAAAACTTTTTCTCATAAAATAAAACTCGTATTTGTTCTATTTGTGAGAAGCTAAATACTTCTGAAATGTTTTTATCAATATAAACCCCATCATAAAATATTATATCTCATTCATTTAGAATGTGTAACAGCCATCCGGCAAAGTACTTTTTTTTTTTTTTTTTTTTTTTTTTTTTCTAGAGGAATGATAGGCCAAGAAACTTCCTGACTTCCTGTCTTTAAGTTACCAGAACCCTAATACAGCCACTTTTTTTCTCCAGCCACTTGCTAAGACACAGATCTGTTTATACCACTAAAAAGACTTTAATGACAAAGCAATTGGTTGTTAGTTCTCTGAATGAAACACAGACACAAAGATTATATTGCAGTGGAGATGAAGGTCTTGGGTGAAATTTCATTTCTACAGAAATAACTGCTGTTTTTGCTACTGATTTCACTGCAGTGCAGACTACAAATCTCTTACTGATATTTCTACAAAGTGACCATCTTTCATTGCCTGAACTCTTAACACAGATATTCAGGAAAATAAGTGATACTTAGATAAACCATATATTTTACAAAGGACTTTAGCATCAAGGGACCTGAACATCATTTAGGGCTTTCTTAAGGGCTAAACTGTGCTGTACTGGATGCTTCAGCAAATGTGATCTTTAATAATCTAGAGGTAATTTCAACAATTTCCATGAACCTCATTCAGTCATGTGGGTTACATTTCTTAACACCAATCTGTCACTGCTTAAGGTGTCTTTAAAGGGATATTATCTAACCTCTCTGGAACAATCCCCTCAGTGATTGTGTTTACATATTGCCCTCCAGATGACAGCAGAGGTCAATTCCCTATCAACTCATTAAAGGTGTATTTAATTTAGTCTCTTTCCTCTATACAACTAGCAAAGCCCTGATTAATCAGCTATATAGGAACAGTAAATACTCTGCTTCACTTAATTAAAAGTTAAATTCCTCTTGAGGGATCAATACAATAGTAAGCTGCTACATGCTTTTGTTAAAAAGGTGTTTTTTTGAAGACACACCTTGAGGTGGACTATTGGGAACTTAGTATGAATAAGAACAGAAATTTGTTCAGATATTCAATTAGAATAATGTAATGTGTTCATTTTCTAGAAAGAGGTGGATATAGAAAAGCCAAGGGTGGTTGAAAGAACCTGGAGAATTACACTACTATGTTTGGTGTAATCTGCTTCTGGTACAATTTTTAAAATGCATCATGTCAGTTTAGTGTTTCAAAGAAGAGTCAGAAAGAATTGCTTTGCATAGAACATACTTCTTTGTGGAAATGCTTTCCGTCCTCTGAAACATCAAGTTAAAAGAGTCAAACTGACCAGAGATAAAGAAGCTAGAAACAACTCTTCAAAAAATGCTGAAAGAAAGTTCATCAAAGTCTCTTCCCAATTTCCCACCTGATAAAATTAGGAGCAATGTCACTAACACAAAATAAATCAGCTGTAGCCAACAAGCTACATTTTCACATGCAGTGTGATAAATACATATTACTGGTCTGGAGTCCCGCTCACCATTTCCACAAGAACAGCACTCAGCTAATTTTTACCATAGCTTCTACATACAATCCACAGAGTATTGCTGGATGCACGTGTCTGTCTTTCTTCCCAGTTATTAAATCCTTGCACTGCACAGGAGGATAGAGTGGCATGAAGACATCTACGATCTTTCTGTTGACCTCCTCAGATTGCATGTTGCAGACAGAAGAAAATATGTCTTTGTTCAGATTTTCTTCCTCTTGATCAGGTTGATAGCCATGGCAGCCAGCCAAAACAGACACATTATCCTTCATCAGACAGCATGCAATACAGTAGGTCTACACTAAGCATTGTGTGCTTATTACCTGTTAAAAAAAAGGAGTTGAAATCTAGAGACAGCTTCAGAGACATTACAGTTTGGTTTTTCATCTTCCATAATCAAGGATTAGAACAGCTCAGTCTGAGGTCTTGCACTCTGGCTCTGAAGGCAGACATTCAAGTGGGAATAGGCATTTATATGCTACACCAAGGATTCATCCCTTCTAAATATTATATTCTCATGGTCCAGAAATGCAAAAGTTATCTTCTCTGTGACATAATTGTTAACATGGAGACTCTTATTTATTTTCTCAGCTACAATGCATGTAGAGCAAATAGACCATAGCGATACCATTACACACATTCCTGCACTCACTTTAGAAACAATCAATATCAATTATCAAATTCTCAACTGGAGAGAAAGGCTGTGAAATTGCCCATGAAACAAATTTACAAAGCCATCCCGATATCTTCTATGTTCTATTCTACAAAAAAACTTTCATGAATAATTATTTCAAACGCAGTTTTATGTATTACCATGTCACAACTTATTCATGATAGTAGTGATGATGGCTATACCCATGTTTTCATGCAAATAAGGAAAATAAGTTGAATTCTTGTTTCAGTGCAGATACTTGTTCTGTAATTGAATCTACTCTTCAGATATTGGTTTTCGAACATAACAGTGCCAGGAGTCTCCACTCAAAGACGTTAGTGCAAACACACGCTGAAATGATCATTGTTTAAAGACTTTAATACATTACAGTGTTTGCTGTCTACTGATTTCCAAGGCAATTATGCATATCACACCTAGGTATCATTTAGGACTGTCTACTCGGTGTCCGTCCATACAAAGCATAAGGACATCCATCATTTTACAAGGCACTTCCAACTTAAAAGTGTTACATCTGTACTTTTGAACATTCAATATATTTATTCACTGTTTGGCTCTTTAAATGTCTCATCCTTAATCCTTTATCTCTAATTCAGACAACTAATTGCTTCAGACAAATTACATTATTCCCTTTTGCATTTCCCTATATGCTAAATACTGATAAGTAGCCTCCATTTATCAATGATATACAGCTTTACATTAATTATATTTTCAAGGCACATAAAAATTATCGTGCAGTGGAACTATTTAGTGATGCACAAATGAACCAAATGCTGAATACAAACCGAATACAAAGAATTAACAGAAACCAAGTAAAACATTTAATCCTGAGTGAAGATGAAAATAATACATTCAAATTAATTCAGACATTCTTGAATACCATCATTTTTACTGCTGCCTATGCCTTCAACAATCACTGTCTTTGAACTACAGCAACTGGGATTAAAGATTAGGATATATGGAGCCTACCTGAATCTCTCTGAATAGCTGCAATTATCTTATGATTTGTAATGCTGTGCTCCTGCTCTTGAATGTTAACACCACACAGTGTCTTTTTTTATGAAAACTGCAAATATACTAATGCTTTTTAGAACATTATTTTAGCTGTTTTTATGTGCCAAGTTGCAGAGACTACAAATACAGAATAAAATTAAGGATAAAATATGCTCTAATCTAACTGTAATTAGGATAGAAATTAAAGGAAATGGGTTAGTATAGAAGAAAATAAGGATCGTAAAGCTATTACCCCAGGCATATTTGGAAACTAAAGCCTTGAAACTAAACAAGCAATTTGAAAGCAAGTCAAAGAGTCAGCGCTACATGCTAATAGATAGACACCTGTGTCCTTCCAGTACTCTGGAAGGTCTCATTAGCCATGTGAGGCCATGAATCTTGGCTCTTTTTCCTCATATGTAAATTTAACACAATGAAGAACTATGATATAGTGGGCATTTCATGCTAATGAACTCTCCTTTCCACATGGTACTCTCTTCCTATTAAAAAAATAACAATTTGTAAGAAAAGCTTTTTTTTTCCCAACATAAAATATTAGTTCAGTAGTACTTAGAGCAATTCCCAATGCAAATCTAAGAATAAAGAAGTAGGCAGGCTTGTTTCCTGGACTGGCAAATGCTGTGTCTATTAAAAAGTTCTCTATATGACTGTAGACTTCTCTTTGAATGAGAACAATAGGAACTAGATCAAAAGCTTATTTCATTTTGACTGTATCAGAGTCAGCAAGGTTGCTGCAAAAAAAGATTAAAAATGTTTCTGATAAATGATTTCACAGACCTCTAGTGGACTGAAATTGAGATACTCAGACTTAATGTGTTGTTTAGAACGGCAACAAATTCCCATAGTTTATCTCTAGTGTCTTGTAAAAACTAAATACTGCTGACAAGTTTTATTCTCTAGAAGTTCCAGGAGTGTTTTCTGCTTTTTGTATACGAAGATTCCTGGTAAAAGTAAGAGCCAGAGCTTGTTTGTGAAATACAAGATCTTACTATAAGGCACTTTTGAAAGATATTTAGTATATTTATTTATTATTTACAGATCAGAAAGTCAGTTTTTGTATGATTTCAGGAAGGTAACTATTGGAGCTGCATGTATCCTGCTCAAACACACTGTTTTCCTCTGTCTCATTTTCCACTGCCAGCTTCTCTGTAGAAAAACACTAAAGTTCTTGCACCTCTGGATTGAACTGAAAACCTCAGATATCAAGTCTGGTGACTGGATTATACTGGAACCCATGTCACTCAGAGTACTGAATGTCACCCTGAATTTTCAGGCTTTTTAATCTCATATCAACAGTGGAACACTAGGGTTTCACAAGCATATCCTTGTAGATTTGTCTGTAATAAAGGTCCTTAAAACAAAACTAAATGGATGAAGCTGATGATGTCTGTCAGATCTAGAAATTACTCTTGTCTGCGGGTCTCAGACAGAGGTTAAAAAATGTTGACCTAAGAAGAAGGCTGAAATAAATGGCTGAAGAAAAGAGTGTAAGCAAACACATCTATATTTTACACATCATTAGATCATTCTTTAGATAGAACCTCCCCTTTCTTAGTTTTAAATCATTCCCCATTGTCCTATCACAATCCACACTTGTAAACATCTGTTCCCCTCCTGTTTATACGCTCCCTTAAAGTTTTCAAAGGCCACAGTGAGGTCCCCCCGGAGCCTTCTCCAAGCTAAACAAGCTTGGAGATCCCCCCAGCCTTTCTTCATAGGAGAGGTTCTCCAGCCCTCTGATCATCTTAGTGGTTCTCCTCTGGACTCTGAGTCCTTCCTGCACTGGGAGCTCCAGGCCTGAACACAGTACTCTATATTGGGCTTGACAAAAGCCAAGTAGAGGGGGACAATCACCTCCCTTCTCCCTGCTGGCCACTCCTCTTTTCAGGATATATTTGGCCTTCTGGGCTACAAGCGCACACTCCTGGCTCATGAATGCTGAGAGATTAGATGAAAGACTGCAATACTGGAGTAAGCAGAAACATGCACTTCTGAGAAAGCATAGTCTTGTAACAAGGTAATCCACAGAAATAATTAGGGATTAGGAGCAGTTGCCTCATGAGATTTGTAAAAGCACTGCACTTTAATGTCAGTTGGGCAATGAGCCTTCTCCTACAGTCTTACTAGGTACTACAGTAGCACAGTTCTGGAGTGAATTTCCTGCATTCTATGCACAAAATTTCTATTAGAGCAATTGGAACAACTTGCTTAGGTAGATCAGGCAGAATTAATGTGGATTTTTTTCTCATTATTCCAGTTTTACGGAAAGCTACTGCTCCAGAAATTTCAGAGGCTTCTGCTGACTACTGAATACTGCCTCTTAGTAATGTTGCAACAGAAAACACTTGAGATTTATGCTTCATTGTGCTCTAATTTTCTGGGGTTTTTTCTTAATGTTTCAACATGAAATCTCTTACAAGTCACCTGGGACATGCTTGGGAATGCTGCAGCCAGGCAGTTCACAGAGGGGGCATGAAGACAAGAGAGAAAAAAATATGTAGAGTCAGAAGAGTTTAGTGATGCAATCAGCTTTCTCAGATATCTAACCACCATCAAAATAGATGCAAAGTTTCAAGAAAGCTTTTCCACTTAAAACAGCTTGAGTAAGAAGACCTGGCTAGGAAACAAAATGAAGGGATTTATCTTGAGCACTGGATCTCTAATGGGAAAAGGAAAAAGAACAGAAGACTCAACTGAAATGCATTAAACGCCCCCACAGAGCAGACCTAAATTTACTGCAACATTACAGTAATAAGCACTACAAAATACTCTAATGCAGGTGTATAGAACAGTAAAACAATAATTTATTTTTAATATCTGCTTCTATCCTGCTACTTTATTTCCACTTTTTTACTTCATTTAGAAAAAAGCAGCAAAACTATGAGAGCACCTTCCAAAAAAAGTGGTATTCAGGAAAGGGTGACCCTTTCTCCTCCTTTACTCCAATCACACTGACTCCATTTTATCCAAGTCTTCGGTAAATCTTGCTACAGTTTCTCCTACCAGATATTAGAAACATGGTATTACTTGTAAAGTTTATATTAAATATTCATAAGATGTATTTTTAAAGGAGAAAACCTGAATTTTGAGCATAATAGCACCAAGGAAAAAGCATCTCATCACCACACTATGACTGCAGCCCTCTAAGGATATTTGGTTTCTGCCAGAAGACTGCCTGTTTACATTCCCTTATACCAGCTGCAAACCCAGTATTCAAGTGCAGTTAGCATTCTACAGATTCCTATCTCTAACCTTAGCTTTCGAGGCAGTCTCTATAGAGCCTCTGTGTAAGTCTATGTACAGTCTACAACTTTAAGTTTAACAGAGAAAATAGATTTTAGTTATGGGAGAAAAAAAAAGGTATTAACTACTGTGAAGCAGAAGGACCTATTTTTGAGTTATGAGAGAGCTGGTATCTCTCTTAATCACAGACAAGGGTGATGAAACACTGATAATGCTGAATGAAACTTAAAAGAAATCTGACAGCTAAAGTAGCAGTTATCAAGTTCATATTTATCATCTGATTTTGTAAGGAAGAAGAAAAAAAGGATTAAAGCAACTTAGGGCCCAAAGCTGTGGGCTAGTTTGTTTTCAAGTACATTTTTTACTTTATTTCAATAACTATATAATATTAAGTAGAGTCAAAATGGTTTAAGTTTTAAAATACAGGCTGATTAAAATGGATAAATAAAATATCAGCAGTTAACAATGCTTCTTTCTCATGAATATTTATGAAATAAATAAAAAATAAAGCCTTTTTTAGTCTTTCAGATCTGCACTGTTTTGTGAGAAGCATGACACATGTCAGATAACATCAAATGTTTGTATTCACTGTGCTGAAAACATTACTCCTTAATGTTGGGCATTAGCATGTCTGGCCTTGGAGAGGCTGAGATTACAACAGAGACCCAGTGAACAGGATCAAAGGCAACCAGCCTTGCTCCTCCTCTGCTTCTCTCCTTGGACAGGGAGAGCTCTCAGCACTGCCTGTGGGTCACATGTTGAACACAGAAAGTGACACCAGCCCATCCCCTGCCTCTGGTTTCACTTGCTTGTTTAATGTGTTCCCACAGAGCTGAGACAGCATCCTGTTGTTTTGCATTTTTTTAGAAGAAACAAGTGGAGAGCACTGAATCTCCTAATTACATTTAAGAGTTATTTTTCTGAGTATCACTGTTTTGCATTTTTGTCATTTTGTTGTGGGCTTTTGTAAGACTGAGACTTTGGGGGTTGAGGCTTTGGTATTTTTTTTTCCATTGCATTAGTGGATTTTTGTATTTGCTTCAGAAAGTGTAAATGTTCAAGTAACTTTGCTGTTCTTCTGCTTATAGGACACAGGATTCTGTGGTGTACCAGAGAATTGTGTTCTGGGTCATCCAGTGCAAAAATGATGTGAGCGTACTGAAGGGATTCCAGCAGAGGGCCACCAAGATCCTGGAGCACCTGTCATGTGAGACTGGGAATGTTCAGCCTTGGAAAGAAGAGGCTCAGGGGCATTTCATCAATGTCTGTAAACATTTGAAGGCAAAGTGCAAGGCTCTCTGCAGTAGTGGTACCCAGTGTCAAGGCAAGAGGCAATAGGCACAAACTGGAACAGAAACTTTCATCTAAGCATCAGGAAGCACTTCTGTGCTCTGTGGTTGACAGCACTGGCACAGGTTGCCCAGAGGTGGTGGAGCCTCCTTGGATATCTTCCAAAGTCACCTGGATGTGGACCTGGGCACTCTACTTTCATGTCCCTGCTGGAGCTCAGGTTAGACCAGATCACTTCCAACTTCAACCATTCTGTGGTTCTGTGATTCTGTGGCATACATGAACATTTCACACCTAATGATGAATCACTCCTTTGGCTCAGATGGACCTCTGAATTTATTCCTCAATGTCTCTAAATTTGTTTGGACCAAACACAGCACAAATAAGGTAGCCGCAGAAGTCTCCATGAGGACTGTGTGAAACCTGAATATCCCTGAGAAAATGAGCTCAACCCTTTAATTTGCCAGCACAATAGATACTCAGCTGAAAGACTGAAAGGACAATATTCCCTGTTATTCTTCAAACCTACCAATTCATCCAAACTCATGAGGATGATCTAAGGAACAAACAGGTGCTAATTCATTCCATTCACCCTCCAGGTTTCGTTTCAGTATGTCACAACCGCCAGTAAAGCAGAAATAGATTGTTTTTAGCAAGTGCACTGTTTTCCTCTAAAAAGTATATAGCTCTAAGGCAGGAGAGCTGGAACTCACTGTGCACGTTAATTAGTTGTCTCTTTAGTCCAAAGACTCTCTGGGCCCTACAGCCACATCCACACAACACAACAGGTACTTCATACTGCAGTTTAACATGATGTCTGCTTGCTGCTCTCACTTCTGTGGAAAACTCAGAAAAAGCATCATTATTTTAGGATGACAAGACAAGAAAGAAAAGGTGCCAAAATGTGGAACAAAAATTAAAAAAATGACAGACCAAAAATTTGACAATAAAAAACAGCCTTTTAAAGTAACCCCTCAGGGTAACAGTACCTAAAGAAATTCATACTGAGTCTTCACCCTTCGCTGATATATGTGTTTGTTTCCAACTGCTGTAAAAGCCATTTCCCAGAGCTAGAGCTAACAACACATTTGGACATGTTCCATTGATTAATTTATTTTTCATGAAGGACTATTAGATATCTTTGACTTGGAGTCGTTGCTGCTTTAATATTTCCCAGGATGGAAGCACAACCAATATTCATTATGCCTTTGCAGAAAAAACAAACAAACGAAAAAAACCCATAGTAGTGAAGTTATTGAGTCCTGAACTCAAATACATCTATTTGCCCATCCATCAAACTTAGAAAGCAATCCACTCTTGATGCAATGGGTAAAATACTTGAGTAAAAGTATGTATGTAAATAAAATAACTACAAATGTACACCTTTTCCCCTATACAAATATGGAAAAAAAAAGAAAAAAAGAAAAAAAAAAAAGAAAAAAAAAAAAGTGTCTGTACATAACTGCAGTGATGATATATTTAAAATGGATTGATACCTGCTCTCTGACTGGAGGCTTGAATTTTTCTGGCTCATTTATGTCTCGAATTGGTGTTCTTTGTAGCTGTCATTAATTCTTGCCCTTAATAAAATCAGTAAAGTCTTCCCAGTGACTCAGTAATTCTGTGTGCTAGCAGTAATGGGTCTTAACTCCAGGATGCATTTAAGGAAATTCTAACAGGCTTTTCCTATTTTGATTCACTAAATCCTTAGAGTAGCTTATCAATTGCAGAATCACTGCTGTAATAAATAGGTCTCAAGAGGGATGAGGTGAATTCCTGATTATTGTTATTATTATTATTATTAATTCCATCTAGGATACTGAAAGAAGAGCATTCCATTGGTCATGTATATAATCTGACAGCTATCCTGAAAGCATTTATTTCAAGTGTTCCCCCTTTCCCCTTCCAAAAATAAGATTATTCTGAGCAGACAGACTGAATGGGTATCAGTCTCAGTCACAGAAAGACATCCCATCTGCAATACCAGAATTCAAACAGTTTTGAAGATGCAGTATGGTATATACAGACTTTCTGCTAGGAGATTTTGCTATCATTATTCAATTTATGGTTGACTGGCACACAGCAGAATTTTTTGCTGATGTTTAGCAGTAACATGAGTTTAAAGCTTATAATCAAACAGTCTGACCTAAAGTTCTCATTGACTTGCCACAGTCTCAGAATGGCTTTACTAATATTTGTATTTAAGGGTATTTGTTCACATCTGGGTGTAGTGGGAATGCTGTCATGGGGTGAAGCAGTGATTGAGCACCTGGTTTGAAGGCAGGGCCAATCCAGGGGATCTCAGGTGTATGCAATGCACATGAGTGACCAGAAGGTGTGGAGCCAGGATACAGCCCTTCACAGACCTTGCATAGGGTTAGCAGTGGAAGTAAGGATATCTTGCTGGAGTTCCCTATGCATTTGGGGCCTTTTAAGGGTAAGTAGAGTCTTTCTTTTATTTCTGTGTCTATGATTGCTCTCTTTGAGCAAGTCCTCAGGTGCTGGACCCTCAGACTTTGCTACTATGTTGTCATTGCTGTGTTTTCCGTTGTGTTACAGTGTTATAATGTGTGTGCTTTGAAGAGTAAGCTCAAAGTTATGTGCTTCTTTGCCTGCAATCACTTGGAAGGCTCAGGTTACAAGTTTCTGTAGAAAACAGTGAGTTATGATTCATGTTATGCTTTTGCTTTTGTAGGTTGTTTCAGGTCTAAAGCTTTACCTGTGTATCTGGAGTATTCCTTGGGTCACAGGAAAAAGGAGCAAGTTCTCCTTTCCTAGAATTATTACTGAAAAAAGCACTGAGATCTCTAAGAAAACTGTAAGAAGCCTGGGATCTCTTAAATCTGAAGCTGGTTCTTATATCATGAAAAGAAAATCTTCTCAACTAGTTCTTCCTTTGCTGTGTCAATACACTTCTGATGTTTCTGCAGTACTTTTAGTTTCCCCTTCAAAGGTTTCGTACAGGCAATTAGGGAGATGTGAATTTCTGCTACCTCGCAGCTTCTGATGCACTTCTGTGACATGAAAAAAGCTGAGACTGAAAGCTGACTTGTGCAGTCCCTCAAGGATATTTTTAATCCTCATTCCTCTTTTGCAGATATATATCTAAGTCTTCCCAATAAATAAATACAATGAATAAATACAAATGAAAGTTTATGTATGGCTGGACACTTATCTAATACTGGATGGATAAAATGTACAGTAACTCTGAAATGAAATTTAGCTTCATGTTTCTCTATGGAGGACTTCCTTTTTTTCATACAGAGGCTTTCATACAATTGCTATCAGCTTATTACATGCTCTGCTTGAAGGAGATGTGCCATAGAGTTTGCTGATGAATAAATCAGTGACAGCATACAATGTCTTCATCTTCAGATTCTGCAACATCTTTTGTTCATAAGTGCTATAACACTTCTTTCTCTCCATATCATACACAAGGCACCATCTGCTGTGACACAAGTGAGAGATGAGCATCCCATGTGTTATTTTCATCAATAGTGTGGCAGTGAGAATAGTTACTTTTTAATCAACGCCATTTTTGAGACTCTAAAAAGCAACAAGGGCCTCTGAGATGTTTTCTGTCACTCCACAGAAGAAAACAGCCTCCTTCTCATCATTATGCTCTTCTGGCACTATGGGAAGTTGAGCATGTTTTTTCCCATTGAATCTGCTTTTCAACATTAGTGCTGATGCATTCTATCAAGCATTTTTGTAAAGTTGACTTTGTGAAACGTAAGGCAGCAAGGATGGCTTTGAATTTCTACATTAGGCTTTTTTTCCCCTGAAGTTCCTACTTACTTAGGTAGTCCCATCAGTCTCTATCCATATCCTTTTTTTTCCTTTTATTTCTGCAATGTAGCTTAACCAGTGTTTAATTATAGCATCCACAGTTCTACAGCAATAATTCTTCCCAATCTTGTGTTTTTTGAAATAAGACTTTTTAAATAAATGAATGTTCATGGTGGGAGATATATAAAACAGTACAGCTGTAACAGGATTAGAGGGAGGCTGAGTTTTTCAACATAATTAAGGTTGATCCAGTGAAAGAAGCATTTTCACATGAGGCTTTATCACCAGAGCTGGGCATGTGGAGTGTCAGAGTGTTCACAGACCTCTGACAAAGACTTGGATAACTGCAGAGTGACGAGGGAGCCAAGCTTGGTGTAACATCACTTATCCTGCCTTCTAGGAGTAAGCTTTGGTTTAGGTGTCGGGATCTCTGCACAAGTGGTATCTGGATGGCCTAAGAGTCTTTAAGGCAGTCAGGAACCATTTTAACAGTTAAACAATTTCTGTGATCATAGTATAATTGTCAGTATCTATCTCCTGGCTCTGAACATTGCCTCACTTTGAAAACCACTGCACAAAAATCATTGTTAAGCCTAGCAAAGAGAAGACTTGTTATTAATGTGTATAAATGCTTGAAGGGAATGCTTTATGTGTATAAATACTTGTGGAATAATCTAAGTAGCTTTCAGGAGAAGTAATGCCTCCTATTAATTTCAGTGGAGAACACAGCACAGACAAAGAGCTAAATAATGCTGGTTGATAGAGCATGTTCTCAGCTACAAAATACTATTTTTCTACATTGTCATCCTCACTAGCTATGGATTTTTACCAGGGATAAACAGGAACCTGTATGCTGTGCTTTTAAAAGATTTTTTGGCCATCCAAAATGGGTTTGTCTTTCACACTGTTGTAACCATTGCAAAAACACACCACCTGCCGCCTCACTGTGTTTGCATCCACCATTTTGTCTCCATAAGTGGTCAGCAAGCATTGATGAATGTTGGTGGTGCCCTTATTTCTGCATGGAGGAGTTCAGAGGTGCTCTTTTGCCTCATACACACTTCCATGTCAGATGCCATTTGTCAGGCTGCTCCTCTGCTGCCATCAGTCTCACAGCCACAAAACGTAATGGAATATTGGTGGGAAGGTTCAACCTCTACCGCAGTACTACCAACATCTGCTTCTGATGTTGTGTGCCAAAGTAATAAAAAGGGAGGCATTACTTTCAGAGTAACCCTCATAGATTACTGGATAATGCAGTTTTGGTAGCCCACATGGGTTTTTAAAAGCATTAGCAAGGTGATATTTCATTGCAAAGGTTGTGTCAGTTGTAAATTCACAGTAATAAAGAACCAAAGTACTTTTAGTTTTATTGTTACAATTCAGAAAATAATTCTGTATGTTATTTATTTAATTATTCCCTAGCAGTATCTGTGTATTAACAATGCCTCAGTCTGAATGCAGATTCTTTTCTTCTGGGACCATGATTTCCATTCTGGAAGTTTTTAGGCAGGGAATTGTTTAAGAAATCTATCACTTTGGCTTGGATACGTGGTGAAATTAGTGAGTGCTGTGAGTCAGGGAGGGTGAAAATTGAGTTCTTTCATGTAACTTGTTGTCTGCCTATTGCAAAAGTTAACCTTATGCTTGGAAGGACAGCATGCTACCCCTTCTACTAAGAAATGCAAAGGGAAAGCAGGTGCATCTCTGCTGTGCTGATGTTAGTCTCCTGCTCTCAATCAGTTTCTAAATACACTTCTTGCTGTGTTGCGTTTTTGTGTTTTGTTTTTTGTTTTTGTTTGTTTGTTTTTTAATCCTGCTGGTTGCAGAGAGAATCTGGCCCCCTGGGTTATTTCTCTGAGAGTTTGTACAATTAACTCCAAGCTCAAAATTTGTCTCAGAGGCAGTGGTGAGGTGAGTGAGAGAGATATCAAGTCTATTGAAGTAGAAGATAATCTCCTCAGGCTCTCTTTACAGCCACAATGGGGAGAGAGAATGTGGAGACCACAGCATGTTCGCCATATGTATTTTGAATCTTCCTTTGCAGGGCACGCTCCTTTAGTAGTGCAGAAGCCTGGGGACACCTGAAGCCAGATGAGATTGATGGCTGAAAATGTTTTGTGGATAGAAGTGCAATGTTAAACCCAAGTTTCATAAATCACTTTCCATTCACTAATTTAAAGGAATTTGCAAAAGGCAATTAGCACAAGTACTGCTTTAGAGACTGTGACAACAAGCAATGCAAGGACTAGTCATTCAGAAATACTGAATGATAGTAGTAATGTAATGATAATACCGAATAATAAAAGTAGTAAAAAATCCTTATTTCCAGTTGAGATTCATTGCCATAGCTAGGAACTTATACTAACAAAGAAAATTCATCAACACTTTGCAATGTTTGCTCCTTTACAGGAAATAACACTTTTATGCGTAATTAGTGCTGGATATGCATTGTATGTGAATATCAGACATGAGAATGTTCCATTCCTAAGTACATCTTACACTGCACTCCTGGTATCAGAGATCAGTAAACTTCAACAGAGATTCGAAATAGTCATGGTCTTATGGACATGAGGAACAAAGTCTTGAAATACTAGCAATAAATAGAAATCTGTAGGAAAGAATCTTCTAAAGTCAGCCAAATTCAAATTAGGTCATGAAATCACAACATGAACTCAAAACCAGGACTTTAATTTTATGTATGTGTATGCAGAACTGTATATTAAGACACAGTTGTTGCTGCAGCAAGTAGTTTATAAAAAGCCAGAATTGTCCTTTCAGTACCAGACATGTAGATGACAGACTAATGCCTTG